CCCGCTCCCTCCGCGGCGGGCGGGGCGGCAGCGGGCGGCCGTCGTCGCCCAGGGCTTGGAGGAGGATGTCGAGGAGCGCCCCCCGCTCGGCTCCGGCGGCGGGCACGTCCCTGCCCTCGGCGCCCGGCGGCGGCGGGGCCGAGGCCAGCAGCAGGAGCACGATGGCGGGCAGCGCCTGCCGCTTCTTCGCCCCTCGCATCTCTGCGGCGCTGGGAGGAGGCAGAGAGCGAAGGCGGTCAGCGGCGGGCCCCGCCCGCCCCCCATGCCGCGCCCGGGGGCACCCCCGCCTGCCGCTCCGCACGCCTGGGCCGGGCGCGGCCGGCGGAGGGACCGCGGAACGGGGACCCGACGGGCCGCTGGCCCCGCTGGCCCCGCCGGCCCCCGCGCTCGCCCGGCTCCGCGGAGCCTGCGTTTAATAGACGCGGATTAGGGGAAGGTTATTAACCGCGCCGCACATATTGGCGGTGCAGGGTTTTGCAGGGGATTCGCTCGGCTCCCTTGTCCCCTGGAGTCGGGTGCCTCCTGGCTCTGCCGGCGGAGCGGGGCGGCGGGGCAGCCCCCGAGATGGGCCAGCCTTGGCGGTGCCACACCGGGGATTCGGGGACAGAGCACGGACGGCAGTCGGATGGAGTTCAGTGAGGGGCGAGTTACATTGGAAGTGCCGCAAATCAGGGTGTAAAGGGCGAAAACAACACAGGCTGGAGCTTCGAGAGCAGTACTTAATGACCTAAGTAAGCTATTCCAATTATAGAAAACGGGTAGGATTAAGAGGGAGGGAAATTCTGTTACTTACAAACTGTTTTCTAGCTGGCCTGCCTTGAAAATCCTCTTGGGCAGAGGAGTTAATCGGAGCCTCAAGGGAGCCGGCTTTCCCCGACGGCTCCGGGCTCTGCCTCCCTGCCGTACCGGGGTGCACGGCAAACCCGGGGAGTCACCGGGGAATCAGCCGCGGTTCGCTGCCGGGGCAGCGACACCCCCTCCTTCCACGGCGAGATCCCCTCCGGAGAGCCGGCGGGCGGCCTCTTACCTTCAGGCGGAGGCGAGTCGGGCTGGGTGCGTGCGGGCTGGGGAGCGAGGTCCTGTGCCGCCGTCGGAGAGCCCGGGTCCCCGCGGAGGATCCGCAGGGCGCGGAGTGGGGCGCTCGGTGCTGCGCCCGGAGATGGGGGATGCGCCCTTCAGGGCCATGCGCTTCTCTTATATAGTCCACACCGGCGTACTCATTTGAGTACTATCGACTTTAGGTGGGTGGCAGTCGATGGAGACACCTCTGGTAATCACTCTTGGGCTCAGAGAGGGTCTTTTCTGACAAACTTCCTCCTCCCCGTTTGTCCCCCGGTGGATGGAAACTGAAAGCTGCGTTTGAAGTGACTCTGATATATTTGCGAAATTAGATTTCCCTGAAGATTGGGGAATGCTTACTAATAAAGCTGCCGGCTCAAGAGATTAAAATGTGCTTTAACTTAGCGGGATTCCTTTGGGAGTACAACAAGGAAACTATTTAATTCCCCCCTTTTTTATTGAACCAAGAAGCCGTGAGCAAAGTCTGAAGTGTGTATAAATTTGGTTTTGTTTTGATGGCAAGGAAAGTGGTAGTCTGTCTTTAGCAGGTGAATTCACAAACTATGAAACTTATAAAAGTTTGCTTCTTCAAAACAGCTTTTTAAATTTTTGACAATGAGACTAAATGAAAAGCTCACACAAAAGGTAGCAAATAAATTAGTGAATAAAATCTCAGTCTTAGGAGACCAGTTGTATGCAGGTGGTCTTGACAGATTAAAAAGCAATACACGTTTTTCTAATTATACCAGAAAATATTTTATGTTGGTATTTTGCAAGTATAACTTTTTGTCATAAGTTATCACTTAGATATTTACTTAAAAAGAGCGGGACAAAAAGAAAAAAGATCTGAGATATCCTTTAAGATGTGAAAACGGGCAATTTAGATTTGAAAGAGGTTTAAACTATTCTGAATCTGTCTGGCACACAACATTTCCCTACGAACTTTGTCTCTTTCCCCAAACTCCTTCATTCATGCCCTTCTCTTGCTGCCTCAGACAGCACACACTCTGGGCTGTATCTCACAGGGACTGTCATTGCTGGTGATGGGAACCAGCTTCTTCCCCACATCATCCTCTGCTTGGCCATCTTCATTCACCTTTGGGGGCGTGATCCCACAAAGATCAAACCATGTTTAACTAATAAAGTCTTGCAAAGGGTTTTATCACACAAAATTGGTTTAGAGGTCAGTGTACTGCACTAGATACACTCATCTGACCTGTGGATTCCCAGGATAACTGAAGCAAGGTGCCATTCTCTTTCTTGCTATGGCATTTCCTGCTTTTGCATCTTTATTGGGTGCATATAAGGAGTTTACTTTTAGCAAGCTGATGGTTATGTTCATTGAAGAGGGAAAGGGGAGCAGTAATCAACAGTAAAACAAAGCAGCATATTAATTAACTAGCTGCAAATAAATCCCAAATTTTCTCTCAGTTTGCTTATTTGTTTCTACTATCTTATTATTTTTTTTTGCTCTCAGAGACATATATTGACACCACAGAACGGGACTGAATTTTTCTATGGAACCTCCCAAAGTATTGCCTTGACTTGAGCTCCTCTGCCCAACTTCACTACTAGTCGTGGACTAGGTTTACATCTTCTAGCCCTGGGAGCAGGTCACACGGGACGGAAATCCATGTGGCTCTGTTAAACAGAATAATTTTGCTGCTCATAAAAACCTCAAAGTCTTTATTGGAAGTTGGTTTGAGGCAGATAACAGAATACTCACAAGGACTAAAAGCAGTATTGCAAAAGACAAGCAAATAGACCCTCTTTTCTCACCAACATCCCCAGAGAAGATCTAGAGAGTCTGCAGACTGGCATAGTTGACTATGCAATCTTCATGGACAACATCCTGGAGCTGCCAGTCTGGGAAATTTCTAACCCCTGCAGCGAAGATTCTCAAATATGTCACCCCCGTGCAGTGGGCTCCTAAGATACAAATGCTGCTACAAATACTAAGGCCATTAAATTTTGTTCTTTAATTTACATGCTGATTATTTAGGGTTTTGGAGCTTTCTATTGGAACCCAACTAGGCCCTTTATTGTTATGAGCCACCCAGTTCTACCCTTGTCCTTTAGCTCTACTGGAACTTGTTTCTCTCCTTCGGAAGAGCTGTATCCTTCTTTCCTTGGATGGATATTATATCCACCCAGAGTGCAATTATAGTGTTTTATAATTAGTTTTAGGTTAGACAAAATAAACAGGTAGGTTGCTTAATTTCTTACCCTTTTAATTTAATGTTATCTTTTGGTATTTTCAAAAGAATAATCAAGAAGACAAGAAAACAAGAGAGTCCCTGCAGAGCAGCTTGAGAGGCAGATCTATCAGCCCTTGAAGTTACTGCAAAGATTTTCATTCACTTCTGTAGGAGTTGGGACAAGCCTTAAAATGAAAAGAACCAATTAGAACCATAGCACATCTAAATCACAAGTTTTAAGTAGCTTTTTCAGATTCTTTCTGTGCTCAAGAACCTTAACGTCTTGTGTAAAAATAAACAAAAAGACTTGTTTCCTATTATTGTGCAAAGCCTTGTCTCCATTTAAGTTGTTTTGATATTTGAATTCACCAGAGAGCGGCTGAAAGAAGGAAGACAAGACTGCATCCAGAGGATGATGTTTTACTAATCCCAGGCAATTCTGGCAGGATGAAACCCCATTCTCATTGGCCCTTTTGTTTGTAGCTCTAATGTTTCTCCTCATCATTATAGGGAGAAAGAATCTCAGCATGAGATTTACATCAAAGAGACCATCTTAAGGCTTCACTCAGTATCTTATTTAGGAACAGAAAACCTGTTAGTAGTGAGCCTAAATAAACACATTTAAACTACATCACATTATTTTTCCTGCAACATGTTCTTTTTATTTTCTCGTCTGCCTTAGCCACAAGTATGTCTGATTAAAGTTGAAAGCAAACTAGTTATGTTGAAGTATCATAGGGCTGACAGGGACTCAGAGAGATGATCTAGTGCTTTCCCTTGTTCAAGGCAGAGACAACTGCACCTGTGTCATCAGGGCTCAGCCAAAAACTTTTAATTTCTCCCGTCAAGCTCAACACTTCATCACAAATCCATTAAATGAAGAATTGGTAAATGTGGGTTTAGAAGTGACATTTTACCTCGGGATTTACACTGAAATATAAAAATTATCTAAATGTATTCCCAAAGCACACACTCAAATAAAAGACAGGCTAAAGTGAAGATTTAAAATTTAGGTGTCTTGCTGTGTCTACATAAATCTGTCAGCGAAAGATTTCCGTTGCCACTCATCTAAATCAAGAAGAAAAACAGAGAAAACCTGTTTCTGTTGAAGTTCATAGGAATTTTCCTGTTGACTTTTTTGAGCAGGGATTTAATGCAGGGTTGTTATTAAAGAAGAGGTGAAGAAGTGAGAAATCACCTCGAAACCATGAATGTATTAGCCAAGGCAGTAAATTATAGACGGCCGTTGTAATTCCTGATAAGTAACAGAGGATTGCAGCTCTTTTCAGATCACATCATTTCCCTAGAATCAGAGATTTTACACAGCCATATACATACATGCCTGTTGAGGCTCAGTGCAGAGGACTTGATCAGATGACTTTTTGAATGCTTTTTGCAGTCCTTTGTTTCTGTGAATCTATAGAGTTTTTTGCAAGTGGCTTTTAAAGCACAGGTCATGCTAATGGACTGTCTGACGGGAAGGCCATACAGTTAAAGAAGCAAAACAGTGTTATTAAAAGAAATGTGAGAATCAGTGTGCTGTATTTATATCTTAAATGAAAATTTGGTGCATCTCATAACCTGATATTATTTTTTGAACTTTTTTGGTAGAAGTAGCACAGCAGAGAATTATGTGTTCTTAATTGAATTTTAGAAAGCAGCTTCCAGAGGTTATTCCATACAACAAAGATCATAATCCTTCCCATTAAAGAATAGCATATGAGTTTTATTATTACAAACATGTATTAGTGTTTTTAATTACAAAGCTGTAATGATCTTTACTGGCCTTATCATTAAGAAATTCTACAATGAAGTCACCACTTTTGAGGTTTGGGGTATATTTTGCACCTGCAGTTACAATATAATGAGTCATTTTTTAGGCCCTTTGTCTCCCCTGTGCTCTGGAAGACCAAGCTGGAAACATGAAGAAGTTTCTGACATAGAGGTTTCAAACAATAACCTGAAAACTAACCTACGAGTTGTTCAGCAGGAAGCAAAGAGGATCTAGGGGAGAACACTGAGGAGCCAAGTTTGGTAGGACTGTGAAATTAGTCTTCTATTTTTCCTGAAACAGTTTCAGTAGTAAAGGCTTTGTTTCTGCACTGACTCACGGTCTGCAGCTGGGACTGTTCAGCTGAAGATGGCACATGGGATAAACT